GCAGTGTGACTGGTCTTAGTTTCGGTAAGTAGCATGTTAAGTTTGCCCTGATTAATTAGAGCATGTTGTGTTGTGTTGTAAATTGCGAATTGTGAGACCAAACGTTACATCTAGAACAGTAATTTGTCGCCTCCCCAATCTTTTCTGTGCAGTTCTCAGCTTCATTTCTCAATTTAGAAACCCGGTTAACTCAATGTCGTCTAGCGACACATTTTGTAGCTTTTCGTAGTGCGTAGCTCATACACAAATTTAACGTTATATACATGTAAAGTTCTTTTCACCTCAATTTAACGTGTTGGTTTACTGATGATTTTAAGTAATTGGTCATTGATTCATTTTTTACTCAGTTCTGAGGTGCAAGACACAGTTCATCAAAAATCAACAATGGCCGGATCATCAAAACCCGTACCACAATAAATCCAGTAACTGCCCGCATCAAGGGACCGTGTGACTGCGTTGAAATTTTCACTCTACCGTCTTTTGTCACTGACAACACTTGGGTCGTGAAACAATGCTTGTTTATACAATCTTTGAAATTTGCAGACATGAAAACCTTTGCCAGTATTTTTGTCAAAGGTCAAAGGATTCATCATTTTATTTGATTCACCTCACACAATACTGAGTTCTCTAGAATAAACTACGCCCAATTTCTTGTTGCGGATTGTTTGTGGTGTCATTGTTTCCTAGGTAACTATATCAATTACTTGCAATAAGGGCTATAATATTCACACTGGCGCATAGGAGTCGGTGAAAAAATAATAGGATTGGTAAAACCAAAACCAAGTTAAACAGACTGGCCTATCGCAAGGAACACAGGCAGCCGGAGAAGCAATTCAAATTGGGAGAAAGTACTGTAGCCGGGGCCAAGCGCGAGCAAGTCACGATTGGTTGATTAAATGAAATATTGAAGTGGGGCGCGTCTTTACTGACTCGTACCCAGTCGTCTCTCATGAAAAAAGGTATGAGACAACTGAGGAGGAGTCTGGCAACCGAACACTAAGCAGTTCAGAAATGTCGTGTTGAATTAAAGGTTTGGGATCAGATTTGCTTCAATTTCAGCGGCGTAATAGCTTGATTGCGAGTGATTTAGCTCAGTGGACGCCTGATGCTGGCAGAGGTTTTAACGCCATTCTTTTTTTGCCGTTGTTCGTTAGCAGATCACGTGAGAACCATCCTTGCTCATTGATTTGTGAGTTGATTTTAGAGAGGAAACAATTCCCTTTTAACGGTTGTACAGTTTGTTTTGCACTGCGTTCCGTGAGAAAAAGATAGAAACATTTAAAAAAGCAGCACATCAAACAATGAGTTGAGTACCTCTTGAAGTGATGACGAATGGCAAGAAGAACTACAAAGGAACACCACAATCAACTTAGTGGAGTGTGACGCAAGATTACACATCTCTTACTTGCTCCCAAACAAACACCATTAGCGGTGAGGCGTGTCCAACTCGTGCGTGGCGGAGGATACACGAGAGGCAGCGCGTTTCGCGAACTTCGTGGCAACCTCGTTATCAGGAACGAAACTTTCGAAAGTTCTCACGGAAATAGTTCTGCAAATATAACGCTTTAAACAATGATAACAACAAAAGCGCTCACAGTGTAAATGGTGAGCTTTTCTGATGTTTCCCGACTTGTTTAATACTCTGGTTTTGTGGCTTTCCTTTAACTAAAACTCGCGAGTCACTGTGCCGAACAATCGAGCAAATCTCAATTATTTTTTTGCGTGGATCGCGCCGCGCGAGGCTAGAAAACGCACATAAAGACTTGGCCGCAAGCAGCAAAACACAGTAGAACTAATAACTTTTGACAAGTCCATTTAACGAGCTACATTGCAAATAGTGCATCTTAAAAAAATTAACTTAATGCTCTCTAAGTTGTCTTTCGTTATTTGTTTTAATCTTTCGCTTGCATTCTTCGCCATCGGCCTGTCGATCTTTTTGGTCGATTCAGTCTCGGCAATTTTATTACATCCGAGAGCTATTAGTTTGAGTTTTCCTTCAAATTCAATGCAATTTGTTAAACAGTAAGTTACTGTACTAATAAGAGAATCTTGAGCCACAAAGTAATTAATTCAGAAAGAGATGGAGGCAGTAAAATTAATTTTTAGGTCTGAGTGGTTCAGTTTTTTTAGGCGTGAGTCATGCTAACTTGCTAGTTCAAGGAAGTTCAAGGAAGTTCAAGGCCAATTGTCCGGCAGAGTACCGGACGATGACTGCGGTCGTGTGCGATATTTTGGGTTTTCTTCCTTGTTTAAAATTATAAACGAAATGAGCTGTTGTTCCTTAACAACAGGTGGAGGAACTGGGAATGGCGCTCTTCAACCGAGGCATCTGGATAAATTCAGTTTATCCTTCATGTTTGGTAATGAAAAGCTGCTAATTACAGTTGTTTTGAGAAAGATTGTTCTACCAAAGTGTAAAAGCCGGTGTAGGCAGCAAGGTCGAAAGGTATTATTAGTAATGGTAGAAAACAGCTCTAACAAGTGTATTGATGCTTCACCTCAATCAGTTCCTGTTTGCTGAAACACCGTGAACCTCAACCAAGAAACGATAAACTATTACGACCGATAAAACCAGTCAGCATTGTCGCGTACGCTTTTACGCCTTTGTGAGACAACCTTTGTCGAAACAGCTGTTTACACTACAATGTAGTCAACAAACAGTTTTAAAAAATAACATTAATTACTTGTGTAGGAGCGAAAGATGTTACAATTGTCGACTTAACTACATGATTACAAATTATTGACGTCATTTACGGTCACTGCCGTAGGAAAGAAACAAACGATTCAGTTATTTTTAACGGTGGGCCAATACCGAGGTTTCAGCTGGGATTTTTTTCCCTTTAGTTGAATTCTCGCTGATTATTTTTATGTCGAACAGTCACTGACCCACGCAAAATGGCGGAAGTCAGTTTCACATGTCTACAAGGCCGCGTCCACAAAACGGAGGTGGAAACGCATCAAATGTTTGCCGTCCACACTACGCCGAAGAAATTTGAAAACGCAACAATCACCGGTCATTTTGGATTTGTGTTTGGGTAAAACTCGAGTAGATAAATCTCAGGATTATCGTAACTTCATCGTTTTCTAAAAGCTCCGTTTTCAAAATGTTTTTTGTCCACGCTAAGACGCAAAGCTGGCGTTTTCGAATTCCTCGGGTTTGAAGAGCGTTTTCGAAAAGCTCCGTTGTCGTGACGGATTAGTGTGGACGGTATAGGCCTAACCGGAGAAGTAAAGCTGCGTTTTCAAATTCCTTCTGCGTAGTGTAGAGTATCACGGACAACTTTGCGGTCAGAATTTAGTTTGTTTTCCGCATGGAGTTGATATACGCATACTTCGTTGTCATGTAACAGCAGCAAAACAGTCGTCTGTGTTTGGTATCATTTTGTAGCTGGCATGAATTAATCGCTGGTCCAGGCAACGGGTAACATGGTTACCAGTGATTAATCACAAATAAACTGTAATGGACATTTTAAACTGCATGCATACATGCACAAACTTTATTTAAGTGTTAATAAGTGGACCGGAAAATTGCTCTGTCATTGCAATAGGATAGGTTTAAGATCAGCTATCTCTGACTCGAGGAAACGGGTGAAATAGCGGATTTGCACGTTGTCCTCATTTGACTATAACTACCAGAATTCCTTTCGTTTTTTCAGGCTGTCGAGCATCTCATCTGGTTTAGAGATTCATGAAGTCAGCGCAACTAAGAGGGATTAACGAAACAGAAAATGCCAGGACAAACGAAGTCCTGGTTTTTGTTAGTAACGAGTCTTCCTCTAGCTCAAAATGATTCAGCTAGTAAGTAACGTTCAAACAAACTCTGTTGTTGAACTTTTAGAACTAAACGACCGTGAGCACACAACCCAATAGAATCCTACCAGACAGCCTAAAATTTAAAGAACCCCTTTTGTTTCAGGCTTGCGAACTGAGTTTTCTTCAAATATACTAGCTGGAATAGAAAAGACCTGGCTTGTAACAACCTGAAGGAAGAATGTGATGTGAAGTAAATGAAATCAGAAGCACAGCAGTCAGTCGCTGTTAAGAGAATATTGAAAAGGGAAAAAAAGATTTGCTTGACTTTGTACTTCAAACGAGTCGACACGCAAATCGTTTGAAAATAAACGAAAATAACATTTCCTTCTCTGAGATGTGATTGATTGATTGAGTGTGACGATCTATTTGAACTAAGGAACTGCAAATAAATTTTCGTTTTGTTTGCATCGTAAGTTAATTTCCGGTAGCCTGCACTTGAAGATTCTTGATGTGGGAGGGTTGAAAGGTTAAAGGCAAACACTTGTTTAAAGGCGTTGCTTAGAAACGTTTTACCGGAAGCTGCGTGAAGTTACTTAGTTCCTCTATCCGTTACCTTTACTCAATGCTTGACGTCAGAGAGACGAGAAAAGTTATGTAAAACAAGATTCAACGGAGCCGACAAGAGAGCAATTATTTCATTAAAATGGGCAACAAGTTTAGTGTTGGCAAAGCGAGGTATTATCGCCCCTCATTGTACACTATTTTTAAATCTACTGACAACGTTGTACAAGGTCACAACCCAAACCCGTTTTCTCTTTACAGAGGGTAAAATGATACTCAAGAACGAAGCAGTCCAAGAAACAAGTGCATTAGCACAAAGTTTACAGGTAAACAACATTATTGTAGCCATTTAAGCTCATACGTTTACAAAGTTAAAATTAAAAGAAACTTAAACTGAAAGTCATCTCCTTTTCGTTTTCAACAAGAATCTCTCAAAAGCTTTCTCTGTTTTTTATCTAGGATCGTCTGAGATACTATACATTGCGCAAGTTTTATGCATATAAAATGGTCATTACGGTTAAAATTCAAATTCAAACAAAATAGTTATACAATCCATCTGTTAAGTTTCGTTCAAATATAAACCCAGGTTGACTTAGTGTTTGTTTATATTCTTTCAAAACTCGACTTAAAGGAACAAACACAGTGTAGAATTTCTTGTGCATGGTAGCAGAAGTTTCCCGATATTGCGAGAGCATTCGAGAAAATATTTTCCTTGATACTGGGAGAGCATTGGAATGTGAAGTCTTCTAGAAAAAATATACGTAACTAAGATATACGCCTGAATATATGCGCGTGGTTGTGAATCAAATCACACTTGAGAGTAGCATGTTCGTACAGACGCCTAACTCGACCGACGAACGTGGAAGAGGTCACCAGACGAAAACTGACTGTCGACTCATTTATGATTTATTTTAATCCTAGGCGTCACCAAGGTCGTGCATAGCGATTCGAATCAAGGTGTTAAGAGCCAGGAATGTAACTCAAGGATGGTATGACTGGAGTAAGTATTACTAGAATCCACACTATGCCGGAGGAATTTGAAAACGCAACAATATAATCACCGGTCATTTTGGATTTCTGTTTGATCAAGGAAAGCTCGGTCACGCAAATCACAGGATTTTCGTGACGTCATCGTTTTCGAAAAAGCTCCGTTTTCAAAATATTTTCTGTAACGAAAAGCCGGCGTTTTCGAATTCCTCCTGTTTGAAAAGCGTTTTCGAAAGCCTCCGTTTTCGAGTCAGATTAGTGTGGACAGTAGGCCCAACCGTAGAAATAAAGCTGTGTTTTCAAATTTCTCCGCTGGGCGTCGTGTGGACGCTGCCTTAGGAAATTTACATGAAAACTTAGAGCGGCTCTTTTCCCTTTTAAACGATGAAAAACGAGTCGTTTTGGCTTTAAGCAAAGGATTGGTTTGGGCGGAAGATAAGGCCATTTCTCTCTGTCCCAGCTCAGTTTTGGAGTGAGAAGTGAATGAGTGAAAATGCGTGAAGGCGGACGAAAGGAGAGAAGAAAAGGGTGAACTGCTATTTTTCTTTTGGCCTGTTGATCGATTTCTCCGTTCTTTCATATTATCCGCGAGCCTGGGTAAGAATGAAAAGTCGAGCGATCCTGCCCACTTAAATCTCTTTGATAAAGACCTCAGGCAAAAAAGGCTTTGTCGCCAGACTTACTGGCTTATACTTATAACTAGACATGGCACGGCAGACGAGTCATGGCATTTTAATTTTCTAAATTATTCGTTCCTTTCCTTTACAGTTGACACTCCAGATCCCTATCTGATGATGAGAATTCCCACCTCGCCTGAAATGGTCAAAAGAACAAAATGCGTGTCAAACAACAAGAACCCTGTGTGGAAGGAAGAACCGTTCGTGTTCCACATTGATCCCGAACAAGAAAACGTTTTAGGTTGGTGAAAGATAGCAACCGACACCTAATTACCACAATTTGCTTCCATAGGACCCATTTTTTGTTGCGAGAGTAAAATCTGTGAGACGACAAAATAGCACAGAGACATCTCTCTTTANGGATTGGTTTGGGCGGAAGATAAGGCCATTTCTCTCTGTCCCAGCTCAGTTTTGGAGTGAGGAGTGAATGAGTGAAAATGCGTGAAGGCGGACGAAAGGAGAGAAGAAAAGGGTGAACTGGCTGCCATTTTTCTTTTGGCCTGTCGATCGATTTCCCCGTTCTTTCATATTACATGTATCTCTTTGATGAAGACCCAAGGCGGAATATGCTTTGTTGCTAGACTAATTGGTTTATATACTTATACTTATGACTGGACATGGCACGGCAGACGAGTCAAAGCATTTTAATTTGCTACCTTATTTGTTCCTTTCCTTTACAGTTGACACTCCAGATCCTTATTTGATGATGAGAATTCCTACCTCGCCCGAAATGGTCAAAAGAACAAAATGCGTGTCAAACAACAAGAACCCTGTGTGGAAGGAAGAACCGTTCGTGTTCCACATTGATCCCGACCAAGAAAACGTTTTAGGTTGGTGAAAAATAGCAAACGACACCTAATTACCACAATTTGCTTCCATAGGACCCATTTTTTTTTTTGCGAGAGTAAAATCTGTGAGACGACAAAATAGCACAGGGACATCTCTCTTTATCCATTTTCCACTCGTCATAATCGCTATTCCAAGATGGCCGGCCAATGATGGAATGCGGAAATAAAGTGACGGACTCGATATCGATAGCCTGCAGCTAGAGCCTGCGAACATAGATGGATTTCCGTCTGTAGGTGCACCTCGTGAAAAAAGGCAGGCGAAAATCTGTTTGTGTCTGCAGGTTTTGCTACAGACGGTGTATTACATCATAGTGCTTGTATCGCAAATCTAGGTACAACAAGGCCTTGTTTATAAGGTTTATCATAAGTTCATAATATGGTTCACCTTAAGTTTGCCCTGATTCCATCTGACTGATTTTTCCTGTAGAGCTTACGTTGTGGGATGAAGATTACGATGCTGATGATCAGATTGGCGAAGCAGTATGCTTACCACTGAGAAATATAAGACTCGGTATACCAGAGTCAAAAACGCTAACATTTGGAGAGGCAAGTATTTATCACCTTCCACTTCAGTTCATCTTGAGTTAAAATGTTAGTTGTGCTACTGGAGGCAGCTGAAGATGAAGCATAGTGCCCAGCGTGCAATATCACATTTATCACCTGATTAAAAAGATCCTGAGAATTAAGCTAAAGAAAATATATCTTATGAAATCTCATTTCTTTTTTTCCTTTAGTATTCTGAGGTTGACATCATCTTAGAGGCATCAAAAGTGTAAGTATTACAAACTAATTGTAATTAGTTTTTAATAATGTAATCGTGATAGATTTCTTTTTATTTTCGTTTGCACGTATTTCATAAAAAGGCTCTTATCACGAAGGTTTTTCTTTTTTTTCAGTTCTGAGCAATATTCAGACCTGCGCTACAGTACGGATCTGTGTGACGAAGAAAAAGAATTTAGGGAAAAGAGAAAAGCTATAGTGTTTGAAGCCATGAACAAAATGCTGGGAGATCAAGGCCCACAAACCATGGATGAGGTGAGGTACTTATATTCTGTGGAGCCCTGGTAGTGATCATCGCCTAATATCTCCTAACAAACGTAATACCTCGTCTTATATACAAGTTAGGAGAATGAAGAAAACCATCAGCTAAGGAATTGTCGTGATGCACAAACAAATCCTCAAAGCTTACTTCAAAGAAATGTGTGGAAGCCATTATCGAGAATTTATATTTTTAACATTAGTTAACAACCTTCAAAGCTCCTAATACCCTTTTTATGGTGCTCGGCATCGCTGACGATTCGACTTGTATATCTTAACATTCGGTTGTCGCCTCCAGGTTCCTACGATAGCCGTTCTTGGATCAGGAGGAGGTTACCGAGCCACTACGGGATTTAGTGCAGCTTGTCGGGCTCTGGACGAGATGGACCTGTTAAACTGCGTCACTTATCTAACTGGTTTATCCGGTTCTGCCTGGTAAGTGAACAGGTTTTACCTCCAGCATCTTCGTGGATCAGATCCGTGGAAAACATTGTGTTGCATTTGATGCTTTTGTTTTGTTTTTCTGCTCCCCAAAAACTGCTGTTGATGCTTTATTTTGTGGTTTATCTTCAGGGGTCTGTCACTGTTGTATTCTCAAACTGCGGGCGAAAACATCGACCCAACGGAGACCCAAAAGAATATCAGGGAACATCTTCAGTGGGGACCCATGTGGCTACTTACCCCCAGGAGGGTAATGCAGTACGTTAAAGAGATCACCGAGAAATGGAAGAAAGGCCAACCTGTCAGCT